GGCCGCCCCCGGAGAACCCCGGCACCCGGCCGCCCGGCCCCGAAGACGCCGGCAGCGCCATGGCGGCCGCCAAGCCCGGCGAGCTGATGGGCATCTGCTCCAGCTACCAGGCGGTGATGCCGCACTTCGTGTGCCTGGCCGACGAGTTCCCGCAGCCCGTGCGGCCCGCCAAGCTGTCCAAGGGCAGGGGCCGCCTGCGGCGGCCGCGCCAGTCCCGCTTCAAGACGCAGCCGGTCACCTTCGACGAGATCCAGGAGGTGGAGGAGGAGGGCGTGTCCCCCATGGAGGAGGAGAAGGCCAAGAAGTCGTTCCTGCAGAGCCTGGAGTGCCTGCGCCGCAGCACGCAGAGCCTGTCGCTGCAGAGGGAGCAGCTCAGCAGCTGCAAACTGAGGAACAGCCTGGACTCCAGCGACTCCGACTCGGCCCTGTGAGGGGCGCCGCCCGCAGCGGGGACTCGCGCGCCTCCGCGGCCCGCCCGGGGGTCAGCGTGCGCACGCCGGGGGAGCCCGCGCCCCGCACCCCGGCACCCCCGAGGACCGGGGACCGCCGCCCCCGCGCGCGTGGACTCTCGCCCGGCTGCGAACTGGTCGGTGCGCCCCGCGCTGCCCTCGCTCTGGGCCGGAGCGCGCCCGGGGGCGCCAGGGAGGGGGGCGGCTTTCTTTGCCCTTGTAAATGTTTATTTTTTAACTCTTCCCAGTGTGAACTCTGCTGTGAGTGTGTGCGGGAAGGCACGCCCGCGCGGAGTCGGCCCGGGGTCGTCAGGGCTTCCTGGAGAGCCGCTCCTCGCCCTTGTCCGATGGTTTGCAACTCCGATTTTGCACAGCGCTCCACCGTGCCCCCCAGCGCACACCCGTTCACACTCACGCCAACACACTCTCGCTGAACACTTTTCTAATTGTTAGGCGCGGCTGATGGGACTTGGGCGCAGCGCAGCTGCTGCTGCGGCCGGAGGATTGATATTTATTTTTGCATTGCGATGGCTGATGGCCTTTATTTAACGATCTTTCTACTTGGATATGTCTGTGAGGCTCCCGAATGGAGACAAATAAAGTAAATATATTTGCACAGTGCATTTCTCCAGGCTCTTGACTTCTTGAACCTTCGGTGCCCAGGCTCCCAAGACTGGGAGAGGTGGGGGAAGGATGTGGCTGGCATGAGGGGCCAGGGGTCCCCGAGTGGAGTTAACTCCACAAGCTTCAGTCACCGGAACGAGGTCGCGCCCCCGGTGCGCAGATCGGTTCCTGGCCTCCCCAAGTGGATCCACACCCGGCCCGGAGGGCTCCTGCCTCCCTGTCTGTTCCCCATCGCCGGCGTCCGGGATGGAGTGAGGCAGCTGGTAGGAGATCAGCGCTGTGAAGACAGAGAGCGACTTCCTGGGTGCGGTTGACCTCTCAGAGAGGTGGGGGTCAGGGTCATCGCCCCGCACCCACCGCAGAAGACCCCACCCACTGCGCAGCCTTTCTAGGCGGCGAGTGAGGAGGTGCCCGAGCTAGCAGTGGGACACCCAGGCGGGGATATTTGGGTGATGGGACCCGAGGGAGGGCAGGGAGCCCTCCCGGGCTGGGAGACAGTGAGGGCTCCTTTGCCTTCTTCAGGGTTCTGCAGAGAGGGTGGGGCAGAGCTTGAAGGGCGCCTGGGTACCACCGAGTCCCGTCCCCCGCCCCCCCGCCTTTGTTTACAGATGAGAAAACAAACAGCAGACAGGGAAAGGTCACAGGCAGTAGTGGCTGCGCAACCGGCTCTCCTGACTCCCGTCCAGTGCTCCTTCCATCACACGAGTCTGTCTTGCCAGTGCTTTTCAGCAGTTGCCCGCATCCCTGTCTACACCCTAAACCCTCTGGGTTAGCAGTGTAACATTGTCACTTGGCAGCAGGAGGCGATGGGGTAATAAACAACATTCGGTTGGGGAGGGCAGGTTCCCGCACTTGGGGCCCCCACCCAGCCCACCGCTGCAGGATTCCTCCAGAGTTGACCCACCGTGGCCAGGCTTTCTGCTGAGCGGTTCAGAGGGACGCGGAGAGCTCGGATGCTTTTCCTCTCCTCTCTCTCCGGGTGCCCACGTTTCTGTGCTCGGGTGCCCTCTGGTGGTGGGGGCTGGGGCTCAGCTAGGCCCGGCCCTGCGGGGGATCTGAACTGCCTTTTAGGGTCACAGGCACCTCTAAAGAAAAACAAAGAGAGCAGAAATACACAAAATAGAACCCACAGGCCTTGAAGGAACGTCCTCCCCACTGGCTCAGAGAGAGGAGGCCAGGCCCAGGGCCTGGGGGGCAGGGTCTTGAGCGCTGTCCTAGCCCCTGGGGACACACTGGCCATTTCCGTCCCCAGGCACAGTTCCATTGTGGTGGGGACGCATGACAGAAGGCCCTTAACTGCAACGGCCTCAGCCTGGTGAGGCAGCCGTGGGTCCATGCTGAGATTCCAGACTCTGCAGCTGCCAGAGTTCCTTGGGGTGGGAGGAGGGTGGCTGAAGGGTGGGACCCCCTCCGACAATCTCTTCCCACTTCCTGCTCCCCCTCCCCCATCTTATCTTACATCTCCAGCAGTAGCTCCTGTTTGTACTTTTCGGAGCGGTACCTTAAGCTTTCCTGGTGGGTTTCACACCCTTTGGGCCTGAGGTCCTGGCTAGGTGCCTCTCCTCTGGGCACCAGGTGCCTGCCAGGACCCTTCTTCCTGCTGGAGAGCCTCCTTCTCCTGCCCGCCTGCAGCCCCTTCCCCAGCTGAAGGCCCACCTGAAGGGTCTCCTGGGCTCACCCTGGCCAATATCTGGGGTGGTCGTGGGGCCCACATCTGATCACCCCAATTCCCTGCTCAGCCTCTGGCAGAGCCCAGCACCGAGCAGGTGCTTCCAACATGTTTGCTGGGTTAAAATGAAGAAGGGGGCAGTGAGGAAGATTAACGCTCACCTTGCCTACTTCCTCGTTTGTCTTTAAATCATTCTCATGTTTTATCACCCGGGAAATATTTGTTCTTTATAATACAAAACAAGTCACTCATACTCCAACCACTGGAGATGGAGATAACTATGTCAACATTTTGGAGGTTATGCCTATATGTGCATATTTATTTTCTTTTACTAAATGGGTTTATGCTCTAAATACTTTTTTTTTTTTTTTTGGTGAGGAAGATTCTCCCTGAGCTAACATCCGTTTCCAATCTTCCTCTTTTTTTTGCTTGAGGAAGATTAGCCCTGAGCTAACATCTGTGCCAATCTTCCTCTCTATTTTGGATGTGGGCCGCTGCTGCAGCACGGCTGACAAGTGGTGTAGGTCCGGGCCCAGGATCCAAACCCGCGAACTCAGGCTGCCAAAGTGGAGCACGGAACTTTAACCACTAGGCCACGGGGCCAGCCCCACTAAATACTGTTTTTTAAGCTGCTTTTTTAATTACTTGGATTTGTATTTAATATCAGCATGTTTGGATCTACATCATGATATTTATAAAATTCTATTGAATAGGTACTCCACATTTAATTAAGCTAATTCCCCACTCTTTGGTATAAAAGTGATGTCCTGTTTGTCGCAGTTTCTTAGTTTTGCCTATGGCTGGCAGTTAGTTCTAAGGGTTGGATGTAGAAAGAAGTTTGGAAGAGGCAGTGACACTGAGAGGGGCTGGGTGAGGGAGGGGGCTGCTGGGATGTGGTGGTGTTGGAGGGAGCAGGCAGGGCCTGGGGTGCCGTGGCCCCTGGACTACACTGGGGGACTCTCTGGTATCTCCACCCTGCACAGAGGGAGGAGGGAAGATGGGAGGGGACTCCTCTGAGGTCCCTATGGGACTTCTGGGGATCAGCTCCTCTCTGTGGCTTGAAGGCATTCCAAGACAGCAAACAGCTCCAAGGAGGCGGCTGAGCTGGGCTGAGCGGCCAAATGGTGGGAGAGGAGGAAAGAGAGGGAGAGACATACACTGAGGGAGCAAGAGAGCATGAGAACCAGAAAGATGGAGAGGAATGAGGCCCTCGGGGAGACAGGGAAACTCAGAGACAGAGAGAGAAGGGGAAATACAGAGAGAGATGCAGAGTCAGGAGCCAGAAAACACCAAGAGACCAGGAAGAATAAGGGCCCCCCTTGGAGAGAGAGAGGAAGGGGCCCATGGAGAGTAGGAGGGAGCAGGGCAAGATAGAAAGTGCTCTGGGGAAGGGCACTGGAGGAGAGAGGAAATCGAGGGAGCGCCTCTCCAGGAGTGCAGAGCTGGCATGTGCCTGGGTGGGTGGAAGCCTGCCCAGCTGTCTGGATTTACAGCCGTCTGGACTTACAGGCTTGTCCAAGCAGACGCCTCCTTCCTTCCCTTCCCCGCCTGGGACGTAGCCCACAGTCCTAGCCTGGGTGACGAGTTTTCAAAGAGGCTGGAGCCCAGGGGAGGTCAAAAGTGGCCAGGCAGCCTCTTCTAAATATTTCTATTTGGCCCTTGGGGAGATATTTATCAGTGTTTCTTGAAAGCCAGTTTGGCCTCCAAGGCCCACTGTAGAGGGCCGATTCTGGGCCCACTGGTGTGCGGTGGAGAGAGAAGGGCTGTCTGTGATCCCAGGGAATTGGGGTCAGCCGTGGGCTTGGGGGTCCTCCTTCAGGGAGCACATTTGGGGTAGCCCCTAGGCCCACTGGGCTCTGGCACAGCGGGGACGGGATAAGGGCCACCCTTTAGTGAGCATCTCCTCTGGGTCCTCTGCTTTTGTCCTGATAACATTTCCCAGCCATTCTACAGATGAGGAAACTGAGGCTCGCACGGGTGAGGTTTCTTGCCCAGGGCTACACAGCCAGTCAGCGGTGAGCTCGGTTGCAACCTAGCATTTTTTTTTTATTCCAAAGCCTGTGCCTTTTCTGGAACACGAACCCCAACTTCTTATTATAAGCCCTGTGGCAGCCGTGAGAAGGGCTTTGCAGACATCTGGTTACGGGGGGTGTAATTGACCAATACAGAACAGCTCTGGCTTTGAAATCCATCCCATGACCCCCATGGGCTGCTCGCCACCAGACACTGTGTGCATGGCTGGGAGACTAAGGCAGAGTCGTTCCTGGGAGACATGAGATTTCTTTGTAGGTGGACTTTCGCTCAAGGGTTTCCCGATGGCTCTGCTGAAGCTTTCTTAGACTGTGGGGCAGTCCATGATACCTTCTCTCCCTCTCTTCTTCACTCTGGGTCACTCTTGCATGGCAGCCTGCTGGCTCCCTCTCTATTTCATTTCACACAGGCATGTCTCCTAACGAAGTCCTTGCATGCTTAATCCTGTCTTGGCATCTGCTTCTCAGAGAACCCAGGCTAGCACACCCATCCGTCTCCCAGCAGGTTCCTGGTGCTGCCATGCATCTCCCTCTGGCCCCCCCGGCACAGAGGATGATGGTGGGCATCATTGTAGAGAGGACTGTAGGGACATGGCGAAGTCTACCAGACAAGTATGTGTCATGATGGTCTGCAGGCCCTGTGTCCTGGCTGGGGAATAAGCACGTTATGGCCTGTGTGTATATATGGGTTGGGAGGGCGAGAGGCTCCCACGTGGACAGTCGTCCTCTCAGCCTGGGCTCAAGGCCATATGACTCATAATGACTGCCTGCCCGTTCAGCTCCCAGGCCCACGGTGGAGACTGCTAATTGTCCACCAACATTGATTTTCCCCTTTCTCCAGGGCACACAGCCAGACTCTACGTCCCAGATGCTCTTGTACTTAGGTCTATCAATGTGATTAAGTTTTTGCAATGGAATATATTGGGAAGAGAAGGGTGTTCTCCCAGGCCTACTTAAGGCGTGCCTCCCCCGACCCCCATGCTCTCTTTCCCCTTCCCACAAGGGGAACATGATGTGCCTGCAACCCAGTAGTGATCAAGCCAGCAAGGCCAATGGCCTTGGGGATGGCAGAGAAACAAGATGGAAGGACCCTTCCATCAAAGAGCCTTCCAATCTG